AGAAATCCACCCACACCATGTTATTGCCAAAAAATAACAAAGATTTAATTTCAAATAAATATTTGTATAATGATTTGAAACAGTTTATTGAAATTATTTATTTTCACTCCCCATCCCAAAGGCTGTTTTTTTATTTTGAACACGTGACCAGCAGCAGAGGACTAGAAGCTCCTCCTGCTTATGTTTCCCAGCAAACAGGTTGGGAAAGAACTGGATCATGTGACAGCTGTATATTGGTAAGGAAAAAGGTACTTAGATGTTTTTGTTTTTTATTAAAATAATTACAGTGCCATCATTCACATACAGAAGAAGAAGGAATAATGTAAATTAAACAGTGTGATTATTATCACTTTAAATTTAATCTTGGCTCGATTCCACATCCAAATGGTTTGTTAAAAAAAGGAGTTGCTAACATTTGCTAAAGGAATCACTAGTTGTGTAAATGTTTGGTTCATTTGAAAGGTTTGTAAATACAAACGAATTGCAAATATGAATGTTTCGTAATGGGAAATTGCAGTAGGGTGGAGGCTTCTGGATTATATTATATGACTGTGTGATATTTGTATGGTTAACATATAGCAGGTAACCTATGCAAACAACAGTTTAGAGACAAAGGACTGTTTGGCAAGCATTGTAGGAGTAAACATGTTGAGCAATCACAGTATAGCAGTGAGAACAAGCGGAACATGTGTAAAGTAAGCTGCCTGCTAATGGTAGGTATGTTGTAAATACGACCTATGCTTTGATGGACAGTGAAAAAAGTAAAAACCAATGAAGTTTGCCGTTTTTTGGCTGTGATTCTGTCCACTCAGAAAACAATGTTATAAACCAACAACTACAAGATCAGAGCCGAGCCTAAAGGGGCAGTGCATAATCCACCTCCAGAAAAATTCAGAAATAATGTCAAATTTAAAATAAAAAAAAGAATTGTTTCTTGGTAACACTAGCTAGTCCTAATGAGCTCCTTTCTCTTCTTTTTTAATGCTTCTTAGCTGCTTAATAAGATTAAATTGCAAACTCAGCAAGTTTTGTGGGGGTGTGAAAGGATCTAGGTAACCTCCATTTTGTTTTTATGTACGCCATTTTAAGTATTAAGTTAGCTTTTTGCAGATATATTAGAAGTTTAATGAAACTGTTTTAGTTGTTCAAGGATGTATCAACAGAAGCTAACATGACCATGACAATGTCTTTGTCTGATTGTTTCTCAGAAAGCTAGCCAAAAACAATTTGTACCAAGAAATGTATATGTCATGTTTCATGTAGTTAGCTCATGATGGAAATTTACAAGTTACAATTTTTGAAACTCGCTCCCCCCTCCTTTATTTTTCTGTATCCTTTATAATCTTAGTAATGTCTAATAAACTTTGAACATCTCTGAACATAAGCTGCCGTTATTTCCGTGTTCAAGGGGTGTTCCCAGAATTCTGCTGATAAACCAGGAAATCTCTCCACAGACCGGAGGTCTCTGAGGGGATAAAGAAAATCATCCTTTCAGGGTGAAAGGAGGGAATTTTTTTCTACAAATTGTAATTCACATCTGGAAAAATTTGTGAGAAGTAAGAGATTGGGTGTGTACCCTGAACGGTGTAGTAGAATTAAGTGGCATGGCATCCCAGATCCCCTAAGGTTCTGATTATCTTGCAGTGTGACTATAGGCTACTAAGAGGTTTTGAGTATCTGGCACTATACGCTATGTGGCCCCTGGCTCCTGAAAAGCCCTGATAATCCTGTGCTGTGTAGCTCTTGATCCCTCTGGTCCTTTAAACATCTTGTGCTGAGTCTAGTGATTCACATAAGCATTTCTGTTACCAGTGCAACAAAGGCTGCATAGGAGTACTACTACCGGTACCAGCACAGCTTAGTAGCCTGCACAGAAGCACTAGCCCAATACCCTTTAAAGGAGCACTTAACTGGAACCAGCAAAAGGTCTGAACCCTGTAAGGAACAAACACTGGTATGGCCCTGCCACCAATATAGCTCAGTACCCTGCAAAGGAAACATTGTTCTTTGTATATTTATTTTCTTTTTTCACAGTATTTGGAAGTATAGAAGGTCTAGTGAAGAGATAGGCTTTGTCTTTAGTATTTAGCAGTGGTTTGTCTAACCCTTTTTTAATGCCGCGCGACCCCTTAATACAGTTCCTCATGTTGTGGTGACCCCCCAACCATAAAATTATTTTCATTGCTTACTTCATAACTGTAATTTTGCAGTGGAGGATGTAGTGCCATGTCATTGGGTGTCAGTGGAAGGAGTAGTGCCCCATCACTGATGTCAGTGGGATGGAATAGTGCCCCATTGTTGGTATCGAGTGGGAGGAATTAGTGCCCCCATCGTTGGTATCAGTGGGAGGAATAGTGCCCATCGTTGGTATCAGTGGGAGGAATAGTGCCCCATGTTGGTATTCATGGAGGGCGCCCATCAATTTGATGTATCAGTTAGGGTGAATAGTGCCCCATCACTGGTGTCAGTGGGAGGAATAGTGCCCCATCACTGGTGTCAGTGGAGGACAATTAGTGCCCCATCACTGTGTCATATGGGATGCATAGTGCCCCATCGTTCTGGTATCCGTGAGGAGGAATAGTGCTGTCCGGTCACTGATCGTAGTGGGCTGAATATAGGTGCCCCAGTATACTACTGTCAGGAATGAGGTGAAATATGTGCCCCATCCACTTGGGTTTCGCGCAGCTAGCGTAAGGGATTGGAATAGTGGCCCATCGTTGGTGTCAGTGTGAGAATAGTGCCCCAGCGTTGATGGGGGGGGTTGTCGAGAGATGGGGAGAATAGTGGGGGGTGTGCCCCATCGTTGTGATCAGTGGGAGTATATAGTGCCCCATCGTTGGTGTCAGTGGGAGGAATAGTGCCCATCGTTGGTGTCATGTGGGAGGAATAGTGCCCCTGTAACATATCTTGGTATCAGGTAGGAGGAATAGTGCCCATCGTTGGTATCAGTAAGGGAGGATTATAGTTTTACTTGGTATCAAGTGGGAGGAATATTTAGTGCCCCCATTTCGTTGGTGTCAGTGAGGAATAGATTCCCAATCCTTGTTGTCAGTGGAAGGAATATATTACCATGACATTGATGTCATGTGGTGGAGGGGAGAATAGTGGCACCAATCATTGGGGTTTGACGTTGATTTGGGGGGGGAAAATAGTGCCCATCGTTGAGTGTCAGTGGGGGGGGAGGAATAGTGCTCCCAGTTCCGGTTGTTGTCAGTGGGGGGAGATTAGTTGCCCCATCATCTGTTGGTGTCAGAGGGGAATAGTTGCCCCTTCATTGGTGTCATTGGGAGGAGATAGTGCCCATCATGGGATAGTCAGTGGGGGGAGTAGTGCCCCAAAATGGTGGTCAGTGGAGGATTATAGTGCCACTGCAGATCATTGGTGTCAGTGGGAGGAATATTGCTTAGTGTCATTGGTGTCAGTGGGGGAGGGGATAGTTAGTGCCCTTCATTGGTGTCAGTGTGGAATAGTGCTCTTCCCCATCATTGTTGTCAGTGTGGTGTCTGGGGAATAGTGCCCCATCAATTTTGGGGATCAGTGGAACTGTTTACTCTGGGATAAATAGTCGTTTCCCATCATTTTGGTGTCAGTGGGGGGAGAATAGAGTGCACCCATCGTTGGTGTCAGTGGGGAGGAGGACTTCTTGAGTGCACCATTCTTTGGTTGTCCAGTGGGGTTTTATGACTCGGAATAGTGCCCCATCGTTGGTGTCAGTGGGGGGAGGAATAGTGGTTATTGTCATCGTTGGTGTCAGTGGGGGGAGGAATAGTGCCCCATCGTTGTGTGTCAGTGGGGGGAGGAATACTGCCCCATCGTTGGTGTCAGTTGGGTGGAGGAATACTGCCCCATCGTTTGGTGTCAGTGGGGGGAGAATTACTGCCCCATCGTTTGTGTCGAGTGGGTTGGTGGATAATACTGCCCCATCGTTGGTGTCAGTGGGGAGAGGAATAGTGCCACATCGTTGGTTGTCAGTGGGGGGAGAATATTTGCACATCGTGGTGTTCAGATGTGGGGAGGAATAGTGCCACATCGATTGGTGCAGTGGGGGTCTGAGGAATAGTGCCACATCGTTGGTGTCAGTGTGGGGTTTGTATTTTTTTTAGTGCACCATCGTTCGCGTGTTTAAGTGGGGGGAGTCTAGTTATAGTTGCCCATACGTTGGTGTCAAGTTTGGGGACCTTGGAATAGTAACCCCCATCGTGGTGTGGTGGGGTTCAATGGTGGGGGAGGAATAGTTGGTTTTGATCGTTGTGTCATAGTGGAGGAGGAAGCTGAATAAGTTGTCTATGAGTTGGGTGAGTTGGTGGGGGCTTTGGAATAGTTCACCCATCGTTGGTGTATCAGGTGGGGGGTCTTGGAATAGTGCCACATCGTTGGTGTCAGTAGGGGGAGGAATTTATTTGTTTTTGCCCCATCGTTGGTCGTTTCATTGGGGGAGGAATAGGTGCCCCATTTTTGGTTCAGTGGGGGGAGGAATGTGCCCCATCGTTTGTGTCAGTGGGGGAGGAATGATGTGCCACATCGTTGTGGTTTCAGTTGGAGGAATAGTGCCCCATCACATGTGTCATTGGGGGGAGTAGTGTCCCATCATTGGTGTCTTGTGGGAGGAATATGTTGCCACATCATTGGTGTCAGTGGAGGAATAGTGCCACATCATTGGTAGTTGTCAGTTGGAGTTGTTGGAATAGTGTACCCCATGCATTGGTGTCAGTTAGATGAGGAATAGTGCCCCATCATTGAGATGTCAGTGGGTGGTTGGCCAGAAAGAGAATAGTGCCCCAAGAAAAAAAATCTCTGTCAGGGGGGGTGCTTTTTTAGTGCCCCATCAATTGGTGTATGGTTTATAGGAATATTTGTTGGTGATTGTGGGGAGAATAAGTGGCCCCATCGTTGGTGTCAGTGGGATAGAATAGTGTCCCCATCCCGTTGGTGTCAGTGGGGTCAGGTGGTGGAGTATGGTAGTGCACATCGTTGGTGTCAAGTGGTGAAGTATAGAATTGTAGTGCCTCATTTTGGTGTCAGTGGGAGTATATATAGGTGCATCGTTGGTGGGAGGTCCAGTGGGGGGAGGAATGTTGCCCCATCGTTGGTGTCAGTTGGTGGGAGGAATAGTTGACCCCATCGTTGGTGTCAGTGGGGGGAGGAATACTGCCCCATCGTTGGTGATCAGTGGGGTGAATAGTGGAAACGTTGGTGTCGTTTTGCATAATAGTGCCCCATCGTTGGTGTCAGTGGGGGGAGGAATTAGTGCCCCATCGTTGGAGTCAGTGGGTTGTTGGAAGAATAGTGCCACATCGTTGGTGTCAGTGGGGGGAGGAATAGTGCCACATCGTTGGTGTCAATGGGGGGAGGAATAGTGCCCCATCGTTGGTGTCAGTGGGGGAGGAATAGTGCCCCATCTTTGGTGTCAGTGGGGGAGGAATAGGTTGCCCAATCGTTGGTTGTCAGTGGGTTCTGGAAATAGTGCCCCAGTTCGTTGGTGTCAGTGGGTTTGAGGAAAGTGCCCCAAGGGGGGGGGGGGGGGGGGGGGGGGGGGGGGGGTTTGGGGGGGGGGGGTTTTGTTGGTTTGGTTGGGGGGTAGAAAAATTATGGGGGGGGATGTTTGGGTGTTGGTGGTTTGGGAATGGGATGTATGGGTGAAGGGTTGTTTGGTCGGGACAGTGGGGGGGGATTGGGTAGGGAGGGGTGTTGGTGAAAATATTAGTTGGTGTCAGTGGGGTGGAATGGAGTGCCCCATCGTTGGTGTCATGGGGGTTTAAGGAAATAGTGCCCCATCGTTGGTGTCAGGTTGTGGGGAGGAATACTTCCCAATCGTTGGTGTCAGTGGGGGGTTGGAGGAATACTTCCCCATCGTTGGTGTCAGTTGGGGGGTTGAATACTGCCCCAATCGTTGGTGGTTTTGTGGTGGTGTGGGGAGGAATAGTGCCACATCGTTTGGTGTCCATGGGGGAGGAATAGTGCCCCAATCATGTTTGGTGTCATTTGGGGGAGTTGAATAGTGCCCCATACGTTGGTGTCAGGGTGGGAGGAATAGTGCCCCATCGTTGGGGTGTCAGTTGGGGGAGGAATAGTGCCCCATCGTTGGTGTCAGTGGGGAGAGGAGGAGGTTTAGTGCCCCATCGTTGGTGTCAGTGGGGGAGGAATAGTGCCCCCATCGTGTGTGTCAGTGGGGGAGTGGAATAGTGCCCCATCGTTTTGGTGTCAGTGGGGGAGGAATAGTGGCCCCCCATCGTTGGTGTTCAGTGGGGGGAGAGAATAGTGCCACATCGTTGGTGTCAGTGGGGAGAGGAATAGTGCCAAAAACATCGTTGGTGTCAGTGGGGGGGAGAGGAAGTTAGTGCCCCATCGTTGGTGTCCCAGTGCGGGGGAGGAATAGGCCCCACGCTTTAAGTTTGGTGTCAGTGGGGGGAGGAATAGTGCCCCCATCGTTTGGTGTCAGTGGGGGAGGAATAGTGCCCCATCGTTGTTAAATGGTATTGTTATGACACAAATGATGGGGCACTATTCCTCCCATATGACACCAATGATATTTTACTTTGCTGACCCCTGCTCCAGCCTGGGCTCGCTCTCTCACTTACCTGTCAGCTGTCTTCCTTCTCTGGCCGCTCTCCTCTTCACTCGCTCTGGCAGCTCCCTCGGTCTTCTTTGATGTACGCGCGCTGCCGCTCGGCTCCTCCTCTCCAAGTTCCACCTCCTCGCCGGTGATTGGCCGCCTGTGTGCCTCTCCTGAGCTACAGTTCCGGTGGCCAATCAGCGGCGAGGAGGCGGAGCTGCTGAGCGATCCCGGAGGTGTGGCCAGGTGACAGGAGCAGCGTTATCATCCCGCCCACACATCGCCGGAGACAGCAGCGGTGTCTCGGTTTCCTAAGACCATCGGAAATATGTGTTTTCCGATGGTCTTAGGCGACCCCTGGGAAATGGTCGTTCGACCCCCAAAGGGGTCGCGACCCCCAGGTTGAGAACCGCTGTCTTAGAGGGTCTAATTCTCTGATTCAGAATTAATTTTTTTGTCCTTTTAATATACTGAGCTTGAACATCTATTATTGGTTAATTGGGAATTATGCCATTTTCACATTATAATGTAAGCATATTGTGTGATATGAATTGTGGAAAGTGTTTTTGTTTTTTTCTTGTTTTTCTTTAACACTCGATTCGAGCAGTTGTCATTGTCAATGCACGAAACTAATCAACTTAATTGTCTTGGCAGTATCAAGCAAAACAAGTATTTCAAAGCCTCAGTTATCATAAATACATTTTATATTTTCCCATTTGTTTTCTCAGTTCTGCCTATTTTTTAAGCATATAGTCAGGTTAACTGGAGAGTTAAATGAAGTAGTGCCTGGGGTATACTACCAGGACCTTTTTGAACAGCTTGACACCTAAAAATAAACAGAAATAGGTGTAAGGGGGTCTTCATATAAATGGATCTTTGCCAGCCTTAACTAGCACCATAACATTGGGTCCCATCATTGTCAGAAAAAACTGGGTCCCAGGCATTCAAAACACCTTTTTACAGTATTAAAGTGAACCTTTACACTTAACAACTTGATAATGTTCTTTAGCAAGGAACATACATCCATGTTAATAACTATGACACCAAAATGAGTATGTACTGTAAATTGCCTCCAGCATTGCTCCTGTTCCTTCTTGCTGGAGGTCTCCCTTTTTCTGAAGCCCAGAGTCCTGAGCAACATTAAAGTGTTACTAAACCCAAAACCCACAACAGTAAAACTCCTCCTAGGAGATTAACTACTGCTCAGCTGGACACTGATAGAAGTCCCAAGACTGCTATACACTGCTGATGAGAAAAGGTATTTAGCAGTTTATATTTACTAAAATAATTGCACATCCATGTTCGGTGTACTGTGGGAGATCAGATATAGTAAATGCAGGGTCTCTCTCTCTCTCCTTTGATCTGCACACAGTGATTTCAGTGCTGAGCTGTGTGCTGTAGTATCTCCCCTCCTTCTTCTGTGTGCGCTGCTCCTGATCAGGATCCTTGTGTGCATGGAGGATTTCTTTTTGCTGTGCTGCCTGTGTGCAGAGCCTGGACTAGACACACTGCTGCTCCTCATCTCTTCTCCAAGTCATCAGTGGAGAGTGCTGCCACTGCTGCTGGGAAGCCATGGAAGAGGCAATTGCTGCATCTTTGCCCTTCTCTCTTGAACAGGTTACTTTTGTCATACAATCCCGTTCTGCTGGTAGAGTCTTTTGTAATAACTTCATTTTGTTACAAACAGTAAAACTTCCTTCCTCAGCCTGCCTTAAACAAGATCTGGCAACCCTAAAGTCAGCCTTTAGCCCTTGCCAATGCCTCCACCTTCTCCCTCCCTAGAGCATCAGTGCCCCCCTCTCTCCGCAGAGTGCCACTGCCCCACCTGTCCATCATGCAGAGCATCAGTGCAACCCCCTCTCTCTCCACAGTAGTTAAAGGCTAGGTTCACATTTATAAAAATAATTAAAAATGCACATATTTTTGTAAGAAGAAAATGCGCATTTTATTTCACAGGTGGCGGCATTGCACTGGCAATCATGGATAATCAGTGGACGGCAGGTGCAATACCAGGCTCCTGCAGACTCTTCCTCCAACTCTATGTCTGCACCTCTATACAGTCTTTCAGTTGGAGAGCTGAAGTAAGTGTCAGTGGACTACAAGTGCCTCAACGTCACCACACTTGTTTTCTATGGAGATCTACAAGTCCGTCTGCCATGGTGTCATATGGGCTTGTAGTTCATTCATTCATAGATTTCTGTTAATGAATGAATCAACTGTACAGTCAGAGTCCAAGACAGTTGCGCCAGTTTCAAATTTGTTAGTTGCTGTGGGGAGGAAACACCCAGCATGCTGTCAGAGTGTTGAGAAAGGCTGGAATAGATAATGACAATAATGTTCAAGAAACAAACCTACAGTCTGGACAGAACAATGAAAGGACAGTGGAACTCCCACCAAATAAATTGGATTGGATGGCAGATATCACCAAATAATAAGGCTAACAATATTTATTAATGGTGTAATATCCTTAATAATTTCCAAAAGCAACAGTGATATCCATACATCCAAACCAACCGGCATTCAACATTGCTCATAGTCCCACTGTCAACCATAACTGCATCACATACACAAGTCACCAACATAAGGAATGGGAAATTGTTTTACAGGTCTGAAACGCAAGTGTTGAGAAAATACCTATGAACCAATGACATACAAGTAAAATATCCAGCACAATTAATGTATATGTAAACCTTCACCTGGTAAAACATCCCATTCAGTTTAAAATAGAAATAAAAAGAAAAACATTTGTGTATAGATATAAACATACTATACCCTTTTCCCCCCTTTTTTATAAGTGATTACATGCCCTCTGTTCTCAGCTGCATAAGGAGCTCAGGAAGAAGAAACAGCTGCACACTGATCTTCACATCTGCACAGTGAATGGCTGTGCCCGGGGGGGTGGGTTGGATGGTGTCAACAGACGTCTGACCATTGGAGGAAAGCAGACTGAGTTCTCAGCACAGCCAGAGAACTGACCACTCTGTGCTCTCAGGCCTAGTTGGGTTAGGAAAGCAGGGGGACTGTCAGAAACACCAGTTATTTCACACAAAGGAAGCAATACAAAGAGAATAGGATACTCTTTCCTACTAGTACATCATACAGCAAACACATATCAGGAATGTGAAATGTTGGTTTTACATACACTTTGATAAACAATTAACACTGTTTATTTTATCTAAATGATTTTATGTATAATATATACTATATATACAGTATATATATACATACACAATTTAAAGGCCAACTCTAACTTTTAAACATCTGACTGAACACCATTAAACCAACTTTCTGTGAACCCAGCACATCTAGGATTCTCTCACTGGGGCATGTTATCAGGCCACCCTTGCCTCACAGTTGCGGAAAGCAGCACCAAATCTTTCCACACCAAGCTGGAATTGGGTTTTAAGAAGTAAATTCTAGTCATTAAAAACAGCCTCCATTTTCGGAATTGTACCTAACAATATATAAGTGTAGCACTACCCCTTAGGGATTGCTGATGAATTTGGGCCCCTCTCTAGTCCTGCACAGCTAGTCATTGAGCATTTTCCAAACAAACTTTTCATTCAGAGACATAAATCAGTCCTTGAGCTTTGGTTTTGGTATATATTGAGAGGATTAGAGCTTGGATGGGGTAAGGGAGGTATAGGATACCCAAGGGAACCGATATCTGAGGACAACTTCCTGAACTATTCTCAAGCTTCTTTTCTCTGCAACAGTTTTCTGTTGGAGTGCTAGCCAGCAGCTCCTAGTTGTACCACCCCAGACCCTAGATGAACTCCTCTTCACCCAGCAACCTGGAGACTTTCTTCCTGAGCAGGGGATCTGGCTCCTGTTCTTTTAAATAAGGTGCACAGTCACTTGCAGAGGGCTAATCTGGTTTCCCATCACAGTGCTCCTTCCCTTATCTGCCCAGGGGGTGCAGGTGTACTTACTCAGATCCTCACCTGTACTGCTTGCAGGATGGCTGCTGCTGCTACCAGGCCTATCACCTGGGCTGCTTCTTCCCTGCCATACAGGTCATCCTCACTCAGGGGGCCAGTGAGTTTTCCTCCTTTCCAGCTCCAGGCTCGCAGGCAGGCCCCATCCTACTAGGCCTCTTGACAGCCTTCCACCTCCAGCCTCACATCTTCCTGCTGCTCTCTACACCTCTCCCTCAACACACTCCTGCTACTGAGCAGGCTCTTACACTTTTAAGAGAGTCCCAGCCCCATGCTAAGCCTTCTGTTGGGGATTGGCTGAGATCCCTCAAGAGTGCAGCCAGCCACTCTTCCGATGCACCCACTGCCTCCAAGGCCTTCCTTTGAAAACCTCAGAGCACGGGGAAATTCCAGAGGGGCTGGCCTGCTGAGTCTCTCAGCCCTGACCACAATTTGACCCTTCTGGGTGTCACCTGAGCAGGTAACCAGCTCCTGACTAA